CCCACCATAGTAAATGGAACATTTAGCAAGATTAGCTTCAAGTCCAGAAGTATCACCAAAGTTACTGACACATTTGTAGAGTTTGAGAACTGAATAGAGATCACCTTTGCTAAATAACAGGAAGTCATCAGCAAAAATCAGATGGGAGATCTTAAGCTTGCCACATTTTGGATGGAACTTAAAGTTTCTGTCATACTTCAACATACTCAATTCTCTAGTAATATATTCCATGCGAATAATAAACAAGTAGGGGGAAAGAGAGGATCTCCTTGCCTTAAACCTCTTGCCCCTTTGAAGTAACCATGAAGTGAACCATTAAGAGAAATGGAATATTTTGGTGAAGAAATACAACTCATAATCCATTCAGTAAACACATTTGGGAAACCCAGCCCTCTGAGCATATTTTCCAGAAATTCCCAGTTGATAGTATCAAATGCCTTACTGATGTTAATATTTATAATGGCTCTTGGAGATAAATGCTTGCGGCCATATTTTTTTAACCAACTCATGAGCTAATAAGATGTTGTTTGATATTTCCCTTCCTTTAACAAAGGCACTTTGTGCTTCACTACTAAGAAACTCCATGTCAGACTGAATTCTATTCGCAAGAATTTTAGAGATAAACTTGTATAAGTAATTACAACATGAAATTGGTCTAAAATCAGCAGGAGTTTTAGGGCATTGTACCTTTGGAATGAGAGTTATAGAAGTGGAGTTGACCACACCCAATAATTTTCCAGTTTTAAAAAACTCCTCTATAACTTTTGTGATTTCCTCAACTATAACAGACCATGAAGACTTGTAGAAAGAAACACTGAAGCCATCTGGACTAGGGGACTTATCATCAGGCATAGAAAATATAGCACTCCTGATCTCTTCTTTTGTATCTGGTCTTGATAAATTCCTGGCTTGATTCTCATTTAAGCAGGGGTCACTTTGAATAATACCAATATCAGGAGTAGTTATAGCACCACATGTACCCAACAAGTTCTTATAGTAAGAAACTAACTCCTTAACAATCTCCTCACCATCAATGATTCTATTTCCAATGTTATTATATAAGACCATAACTCTATTCTGGTGCCTGTTGTTCTTGATGATAGAGTGAAAGAACTTGGTGCATCTGTCCCCTTGTAAACACTAAGTGTTATGGTAATTTACCATCTAAAGATGAAGATTGACTGCATAGGCATAAAAAGGGCATGGTCCAAACCAGCTTAGAAGCCCAAAAACCCAACCAATGACAAGTCTATCAGCCAACCAAGCAGACGAGTCATCTTTCGACCAAGGGTCATCATTACCGACTCGAAGTGTGGGATTAGTCGGTCCCTCGTAATTAAGATGACTCCTCAAGCAAGACGTCTCGACCATACACTCGGCCCAAAGCTCACTCGACTATCGGGTCGGCAAATCATAATAATGACTCACAAGATCAACCCGCCTCGACGAAGGGGATAAGATCCGACTAAGCTCGCTTCAGATGTTAATCGGTACTACAGCATTGATCAGTCCCATCGAGATCTCCGCTCTGACAAATCCCAGGCATAAGCCGTTTATTCTCCTCACAAGTCACTTCCCAGAGATCGCCATGATGCTCTCCTGGGCTCTAATAGTTTCCCCTCCAATCACCAACCGTCATCTAGAGGGGGAAGGACGACCAAGTAGCTGGCCTATCCTCTGTCCTGCCTTATTTGTCAAATCCAGGATACTGAGAAGATATTTCTCTCCTGTAACCGAATGGCTTCCCTTCCAATTACCAGTCTACATCTGGAAGGAGAAGGATGACTCAGCAACCTATCTGTTCACCCCTCAACCGCCTCTTGTGCATAGTCAAAGCCAAGGATCAAACTCTCAGAGGCAATGGGCTATAAAAGGAGGAAAAGAAGGTAACAAGCAGGGAGGTAGATCTTTTATGCTGCTACTTCACTAAAGCTCTGATTTTTTACCTTTGTAGAAAAGAACTAATAACTCTCAAAGAGTATCCTCTAAGGACCTCAATGGCCCTGGGACTCTCCCTCAAATCCCACTCAAGCCCACTAGCTGACTTGACCGTGGGAGGTACCACGGAGGAAATGAGCTCCGCCCTCCCATGGGTTTCTCATTGTTTGTGCAGAAGGATCGGGAATTCCATTCTAAGGATCGGGCATAAAGTCAGAGGAGGAGTCGGCCCCATCTCTCATCCTCTTCCTATTCGCCGCTAGCGCAAAGACCAAAACCATAACCCCCTCGACTGTGTGATATCAGATATTAACACCAAGTAATTTTAGCTTTTTGTTGGAAGAAAGATAATTCACAGTCCAAGAGTTTGTTATAAGAAATATTACACTCTTTTTCCTGACTAATGAAAGAAGCATTGAGAAGGTCAGATTGGAGAACCTTTTGAGCATTTTCCAAATCCAGTTTTGCTCTTAGGACCTGCTCACTGATATTATTAAAATGTCTTCTATTGAGCTCTTTTAGTGCATTTCTCAGAAGTTTCAGTTTGGAATAAACTGAAAACATAGTGTAACCCTGAACAGGAATTTGCCAAATAGAAGAGACTGTAGGTATATAATTTTCATGCTTTGTCCATATCTTGACAAATCTGAAAGGCTTTTACCCTGCACATAATCATCATAAATTGAAACAAGTGCAGGAGAATGATCAGAAAAACTAGGAAGTAAAAACTTCACATGACTTAAATTATATCCATGAATCCAGGTTTCATTCACTAATGCTCTATCCAATCTACTCCAAGCCCTTGTGATAGGGTCTTGTTTGTTATTCCAGGTGAAAAACAACCTGTAGTTTTTAGATGAGTAAGCTGATAGTCTTTAATGAACTGGCAAAAATCCTTAGTTTCAGCATCAGTAAGCATTGCACCACCTTTTTTTTATCATTGCTAATCATAGCATTAAAGTCTCCACATATAAGCCAAGGCATATTTCCAATATTATGATGTACAAAAGATAATTCTGACCATAAATCCTTCCTAGTCACTGACTGATTAAAACCATAGACAGAAGAAGTGATACAATTGAGTCTATCATCAAAAGATTTGACAGCACAAGTGATTTGTTGAGCTGAAGAACATTTAATTTGAACATCCAGAATGTTAGGATCCTATAAGATGAATACTCTTGCTTTTTCAGAGCTACTGGCATTAGAAAACCAATCCCAGTTATTTGCAATCTTTTTTGCTATATCCTGAACATTCTCATGCTTTATTTTGGTCTCAAGAAGTGCAAGGAAAGATAATTGATACTGCATTTAGTGTCTCTTGACCAAAACCTGTTTAGGGGATTTATTTAATCCCCTAACATTCCAAAAAGATAGATTCATTGATTCATTTTCCTCTATCAATTGTAGAGGGATCAACACCACTAGCCAAATAATTCAAAGGAGAGAAGGGGTTCATCGGCTTATGTAGGCGTCGAAAATTGCCTATAGGTCTCCACGAACAGCTCAAAGCTAAGAGAAGACGATGAACATCACTATCCAAATTGCCTATAGGTCTCCACGAACAGCTCAAAGCTAAGAGAAGACGATGAACATCACTATCCAAGTCACAAAAGCTTGATTGACGTCAATGAATGCTTGAAGTGAATCGATGGACTATGTGAAGCAATGGAGTTTCAGAATAACGAGGACACGAACTGATCGGGAGCCCCGCGTTATTTACGAAAGGCGGAACACCCCTCATGTCTTATTTATTCCACAGATGATTCAAGATCGGAGCTTGTAGATCTCCTTGCCGACTTTCCAACGCACTTTGAATCACTCAAATCCGAGTTCGGATGAAGAAGTTACGGCAGAAACGGACAAGCGCGCAAAACGGACTGTCTTAGCCTAAGCTAAGACACCCCGAAGTGTCTCGGCCCAACCGAGACACCCCAAGGTGTCTCGGCCAAGGCCCGAGACACCCAAGGGTCACTGCTAGAAACATGACTTTTAGTGACAGAAAAATCCGTCGCTAAAAGTCGAAAATCCATCGCTAAAACCTTTAGCGACGGAAAAAATAAAATTCCGTCGCTAAAAAACCGTCAGTACAGTGAGGGTAGCTAAAATCGGTTTTAGCAACAGATTTTCTGTCACTAAATTTTAACGATGAAAAATTAGCGACGTATAATCCATCGCATTATTTTTAAAAAAAAATAAAAAAACATTAGCGACGGATTTTTCGTCGCTATAACCACTTTTAGCTATGGAAAATCCGTCGCTAAAAAACATTAGCGACGGATTTTCCGTAGCTATAACCACTTTAAGCTATGGAAAATCCGTCGCTAAAACTTATTAGCGACGGAAAATCCGTCGCTATAACTATTTTAAAAAAATAAAAATAAAATGAATTTTCCGTCACCATTAACATTAACGACGAAAAATCCGTCGGTAATATTTGTCCCCCGTATCTGTTTTCCGTCGCTAAAAGTCTATTTAGTGACGGCTAATCTATTGCTAAATATTTCCAATATTTTTTTAAAAATAATTTAAAATTTGAAAAAACCTGTACAATAATATAATAAATTTAAAACCCTGTTCGATCAGCATTATAATATTCATTCTCACGCATATATAACACATAGAATTTAATTAAAATATCCTAACATAATAAACATTGTTTATACAGTACACCCCATGATAAATATTGTTTATACAACACACTCATTCATTGTTTTCAAAGGTAAAACAAATCCGCACTCCTTCCCCTCCCCCACCACGACCAAACCACCCACCAAGTGATCACATAACCAACCATACGCACTCTCGCACCACAATAACATAACCACAACCAACTAACCAATTCACCAACCAATACTATCATCACTACACACACACGCACCATCAACACCACCATCACATAAAAATATTATACATATATATTTTGGGCTTTGTGTTATGCTAACCTTCAACATAACCCTCACTATAACCCTCAATGTAACCCTCACCTAACCCTAACCCTATCCCTCACCCTCGCCATAACTCTCACCCTCACCTAACCCTAACCCTCACCTAACCCTAACCCTAACACTCACCTAACCCTAACCCTCACCCTCGCCATAACTCTCACCCTCGCCCTCGCAATAACCCTCGCCATCCCCCTTATGCAAACATATAGCCCCTAAGGAAAATGGACAAGCACAACACGACGATATACATACATACTTTTTAAATTTATTAAATCCTTAAGTTAGTACACATAAGATTGAAAAATGCATCATACGTTCATACATATCATGTCTTTGACTTTGTGAACATTAAATCCATACATATGAAGGATCCGAACAAGTCCACTAGAGCCTGCTCTAGTTTTTACATGTCATGATTTCCAAGAAGCTTAGTAGTCAACACATGAAAACATTGGGTAATCTTCAACATAACCCTCACTTAATTGCTCTATGTTGAGGAGCTTTTTGTCTACATTAAGGGGGGAGACAGCATGCATTTTAGTGGTAAAATATGACATATGATTTGATTAAACTATAATAGTGTCTCAATTAGTACATGATACACAAATCAGTATCAATATAAGATTATTTGGATAAAAAATGCAAATTGATTACAAAATTTGATTGACTAAATGATTTGATGCACTATTTTCTGGGATGTATGTTTCTTGCAAGGAATAAATAGAGGAATTGAAACTTTAACTCCGTTGTCATTATATTTAGTGCATATTTAAAAAAGTATATAACAACCTTTAGATGCTTAGGAACAAAATAACAATCCATATAGTATTTTCATAAAAAGACTTGATTTCGAGTTTATTGATAATAAAGAAAAATAATATTTCTATATATTGATAGCTCTTTAGCTTACTACAAAATTTATTACAAAAATCAACTTACTACTACATTTTCTCCAAGCCCTTAAAACTAAAAATAAAAATTAAAAAAATCCACGAAACTTGCAACATCAAAAATACATGGTGAACATCAAAAATATAAACACGTTCAACAATATTTATCAAAAATAATAGGGAGGAAGGAGAACATGAAATGTCATTAGGCAAGCCATCAGAGTATGCAAACAAGCTCATATAACCAGCATTAGGCAACCACAAGTAAGCTCAGACTAGCTCACAGTATGCTAATATTACTATATACTATATAGCTATATTTTTATTACCCCTTCACCAAATCACATAGTATAGGATAATATATGGATACATAAACCAGCAAGTAACCAGTCTGCATAAGTAATAATGATGTTTTGATTTTCTCTTTATTGTTTTTTTAGTGGGGGTTAATGTAGTGTCTATGTCCTCAAATTACTTATAAAAAATGTAGCAAACAAAAGTGTTACCACATGTCACAGCCATTGGGAACATCTACATAGATAACTAGACCTTAGAACAAATATCTAGTGATTATTTATCTATATATGATTTAGTTGAAGTAGCAAGCAGAGTCAAACCAATTGTAGAACTTGGTTTCCTTGAATCGATTCCACTTGAAACATTTGACACGTATTCCCCCATCTGGAGTGTTGCCATCCCACAAGCATGCTCCACCACCTCTACAATAACATACCAAGAAACAATTGTGCAAATTACGCATCCATCTAAATTATGTTTTTCACTGAATAAAATAAACAACAATGTCCAATTGTCCATCATCCCTAACATATTGGTTCATTACGAAATAATACACGCAGACTTTAATGGAAATTTAGATTTGGTGTTAAACTAACCTAAACCACGGAAAACATCACCCTGAGCATCTTTAAGTGTCTTCGCCTATTCAGTTGTAATATTCATAGCAAGCTTATCCTGAAATAGAAACATATATACCATTAGTAATTGACCCTTGCTACAAAGTAAACATTTTTCAAAACAAATTACCATGACTCTTCGAATGAGCTCTTGGAGCTTGAACATAACTCACTGCCTTGAAGTAACTGGAGTATTCTTCCATTTAGGAAAAGCTTTTTTCGCAGCGCTAACCGCCGCTTTAAACTCTTCGTCTGTAGTCAATGGAATCCTAGAAACTACTTCTTGTGTCGCCTATTATTATTTAAAAAACACTTTTTTCAGCAAATTCAATAACAATCCACTGGGAAAGCATAAAGTGAAAAGATCGAGACTTATAGTATTAATAACATCGATTGAAGACTCCGATTGGGACTCCAAGAACTCCCCTCTGATGAGATTCCTTACTCTCATCTGTAAATTCATCATCAAAAACCATTTACCCCTAACAATTGAATCTAAAAACCTTGATTTCAACGTTAAATCAGTTATCGGAGCCATTCCGAGGGCCGGCGATGCTTCAGTGACGGTGGAGAAGCGGGAGAATCCCTGAGATTTCAATGACCGGGCGCTGGAAGCTACATCAAAAAGCAACATGTGAACAGAAATTGGGGAAATCTTAGGGTTTATTTCAAGGGATTTGATTTCACACCGCCTCGTCAGAGCGCTGATCGGAGCATAATTTTAGGAGGGAATATGAAGAAAGAGAGTGGAGGAGAGGGAGAGGACGGCCATGGCAAGCTCTTGGAACCCTAGGTTGGAGAGGATCGGAGAGAGGTACCGGTGGAAGTGGCGCTAGATCGTGGTCGTCGCCGCGTCCTGGCGGTTGTGGTGCCGACGAAGAGAAAGGGGAGGGAGAGAGGGGGGGAGGGGGGAATGAGGAGAGGGGGGAAATGAGATAAGGATTTGGGGAAAATCCCTCTGTCGGGCGCGGGATGCCCAAATTTTTTGGGCAAGCCCGCGCCCAAAATTTTTCTTTTTTTTATTTTTTCACGACGGAAATTCCGTCGCCAAAAGTAGTTTTAGCTACGGAATTTTCGTCGCTAAAAGTTATTTTAGCGATGGAATTTCCGTCGCTAAAAGCTCGCTTCAGATGTCAATCGGTACTACAGCATTGATCAGTCCCATCGAGATCTCCGCTCTGACAAATCCCAGGCATAAGCCGTTTATTCTCCTCACAAGTCACTTCCCAGAGATCGCCATGATGCTCTCATGGGCTCTAATAGTTTCCCCTCCAATCACCAACCATCATCTAGAGGGGGCAGGATGACCAAGTAGCTAGCCTATCCTCTGCCCTGCCTTATTTGTCAAATCCAGGATACTGAGAAGACATTTCTCTCCTGTACCCGAATGACTTCCCTTCCAATTACCAGTTTACATCTGGAAGGAGAAGGATGACTCAGCAACCTATCTGTTCACCCCTCAACCGCCTCTTGTGCATAGTCAAAGCCAAGGATCAAACTCTCAGAGGCAATGGGTTATAAAAGGAGGAAAAGAAGGTAACGAGCAGGGAGGTAGATCTTTTCTGCTGCTACTTCACTAAAGCTCTGATTTTTTACCTTCGTAAAAAAGAACTAATAACTCTCAAAGAGTATCCTCTAAGGACCTCAATGGCCCTGGGACTCTCCCTCAAATCCCACTCAAGCCCACTAGCTGACTTGACCGTGGGAGGTACCACGGAGGAAATGAGCTCCGCCCTCCCATGGGTTTCTCATTGTTTGTGCAGAAGGATCGGGAATTCCATTCTAAGGATCGGGCATAAAGTCAGAGGAGGAGTCGGCCCCATCTCTCATCCTCTTCCTATTCGCCGCTAGCGCAAAGACCAAAACCATAACCCCCTCGACTGTGTGATATCAGATATTAACACCAAGTAATTTTAGCTTTTTGTTGGAAGAAAGATAATTCACAGTCCAAGAGTTTGTTATAAGAAATATTACACTCTTTTTCCTGACTAATGAAAGAAGCATTGAGAAGGTCAGATTGGAGAACCTTTTGAGCATTTTCCAAATCCAGTTTTGCTCTTAGGACCTGCTCACTGATATTATTAAAATGTCTTCTATTGAGCTCTTTTAGTGCATTTCTCAGAAGTTTCAGTTTGGAATAAACTGAAAACATAGTGTAACCCTGAACAGGAATTTGCCAAATAGAAGAGATTGTAGGTATATAATTTTCATGCTTTGTCCATATCTTGACAAATCTGAAAGGCTTTTTACCCTGCACATAATCATCATAAATTGAAACAAGTGCAGGAGAAAGATCAGAAAAACTAGGAAGTAAAAACTTCGCATGACTTAAATTATATCCATGAATCCAGGTTTCATTCACTAATGCTCTATCCAATCTACTCCAAGCCCTTGTGATAGGGTCTTGTTTGTTATTCCAGGTGAAAAACAACCTGTAGTTTTTAGATGAGTAAGCTGATAGTCTTTAATGAACTGGCAAAAATCCTTAGTTTCAGCATCAGTAAGCATTGCACCACCTTTTTTTTATCATTGCTAATCATAGCATTAAAGTCTCCACATATAAGCCAAGGCATATTTCCAATATTATGATGTACAAAAGATAATTCTGACCAATTAAAGTCTCCACATATAAGCCAAGGCATATTTCCAATATTATGATGTACAAAAGATAATTCTGACCACAAATCTTTCCTAGTCACCGACTGATTAAAACCATAGACAGAAGAAGTGATACAATTGAGTCTATCATCAAAAGATTTGACTGCACAAGTGATTTGTTGAGCTGAAGAACATTTAATTTGAACATCCAGAATGTTAGGATCCTATAAGATGAATACTCTTGCTTTTTCAGAGCTACTAGCATTAGAAAACCAATCCCAGTTATTTGCAATCTTTTTTGCTATATCCTGAACATTCTCATGCTTTATTTTGGTCTCAAGAAGTGCAAGGAAAGATAATTGATACTGCATTTAGTGTCTCTTGACCAAAACCTATTTAGGGGATTTATTTAATCCCCTAACATTCCAAAAAGATAGATTCATGGATCCATTTTCCTCTATCAATTGTAGAGGGATCAACACCACTAGCCAAATAATTCAAAGGAGAGAAGGGGTTCATCGGCTTATGTAGGCGTCGAAAATTACCTATAGGTCTCCACGAACAGCTCAAAGCTAAGAAAAGACGATAAACATCATTATCCAAGTCACAGAAGCTTGATTGACGTTGACGAACGTTTGAAGTGAATCGACGGACTATGTGAAGCAACGGAGTTTCAGAATAACGAGGACACGAACTGATCGGGAGCCCCGCGTTATTTACGAAAGGCGGAACACTCCTCATGTATTATTTATTCCATAGATGATTCAATTATCAGAGCTTGTAGATCTCCTCGTCGGCTTTCCAACGCACTTTGAATCACTCAAATCTGAGTTCAGATGAAGAAGTTACGGTGGAAATGGACAAGCGCGCAAAACGGACTGTCTTAGCCTAAGCAAAGACACCCCGAAGTGTCTCGGCCCAACCGAGGCACCCCAAGGTGTCTCAACCAGGGCCCGAGACACCCAAGGGTATCTCGGCCCAAGCCGAGACACCCAAGGGTGTCTCGGCCTCGCTGAGACACCCGAGGGTGTCTTGGGGCCCTAAAAAGCAGTTTTTCGCTGATTATGTAGTTTTAACCACCTGGATTCCCTGGAGCCTATAAATACAGTCCCAAGGCCTTTATTTTTGCGGAGCTGGAATTCTCGAGCATTGGCGAAGCCCTACCGGATTGAAGATTAAAGGTGCACGAATTTCAGAGAGGAGGAGGAGAGATCAGATCGAGTTCATCGGCATAAAGAAGAAGAGCTCGTCAGATCTGCAGTTCTCGTATTCGTCCCTTAAGATTACCTCGTTGTGGTGATCTTAAGAAGAGCAATTATCTCGCTGTTGCCGAGATAAGCGCTATGACTTCTTGATTCCTTCGCGAATCGACGAAGCTCTGCCTAATTTTTCAGCAATCAGATCTGATCGACGGTGGTCCACGGATATCAACGTCTCCGTCACAGGCCAAGATCCCACGCAAGCAGAAGACCGATAAACGATCTCTGCGCTGTTTGAAGAGAATTATACTTTTGTTTTGTTTTTATTGTGTAAAGGTCTTATAAAAAGACTAATTTCTATTTTCGTTGTAAACGTCTGAAGTTTGTAATGAACACCGCAATGAATCAAACAATTTTCTCCGTAAACGCTTCCTCAATGAAGTTTGTAATGAACACCGCAATGAAGTTTGTAATGATGACGCGGAGAGCAGGCCGAACGCTTCCTCAGAAGGAAGAAGGTCGAAAGAAGGCAACTGATGGCTAACCCTATGAAGTGAATGCACCTACAACAGTTGTTGACGTTAATCAGACGTCGCAACAGCAGTCCCGAAGACAGCAGAATAGTTCGGATCCGAGGCTCCAAAAAGAGTATTCATTCAGGGACGAAGACGTTCCAACCATCTTCGAGACCCTTCTTGAAAACAACAAGATCAAGCTGCCACCCATCACGAATCAGGAGAAATCTGACAATACTACGGATCCGAAGTACTGCGCATACCACAGGAGGATCCTTCATCCCACCAAGGCTTGCTTTACTTTAAAGAATAGCATCCAAACCTTGGTTAAGGCCGGCGTCATAACGCTGGGATAAGCCAAATAAGAACGGCAAAACTCCGACAAGTATAAGAGTATAAACTGCTCCTTCCTACACTCCGAAGAGTATACGAGTATAAATTGCTTCTTAATACTCTAACAGGTATACGAGTCTAAACTATTTCCTTGCTTTCACGGAAAGTTCCTGGAGAGTGTCATGCCTGGTATTCTTAAGGATAACCCGGCCATGTAACTGAGTATAATGTCAGACTCAGTTCCGCAAAGAAAAGCTGGGGGTGGGTGATTCATGTAATGGGAAGTTCCTAGAAGAATCTTACATGTAATTTTCTTAGGGATAACCTGATCATTACAAATTAGGTGATAAACACAAAACTCTCACTGTGATTTGTACGAGTCAACACTCCCGCTATGATTTGTACTCCCACTACCACTTCCAGCTCGGTCAAACCTTCCTACAGTTAGGACCACAACCAAAGTCCCCTCTCGATTCCTTCCATGCACGAGAGGCCCACAAATCGAGCGATCAAACCTTCCTACAGTTAGGATCATCTCAAACCTCTCACTCGGTCAAACCTTCCTACAGTTAGGGCCAAAACCAAAATCCCCTCTCGATGAACGAGAGGTCCACTTTCAAATCGAGTGATCAAACCTTCCTATAGTTAGGGTCATCTCAAACTCCCGCTTGGTCAAACCGTCCTACAGTTAGGACCAAAACCACAATTCACTCTCGATAAATGAGAAACCCACCTTTAGTTCGATAATCAAACCTTCCGACAGTTAGGATTATCCAAATCTTTTGATTCTCGGAGTGGAGATCCCCCTCCTAGTTTTACCTTCTCAGATTCTGAAAGTGGAGATCCCACTTTGAGTTTCATTTGGTAACTGGAGATAGAATATAAAATTCTTCCTCTTCAGCTCTGGGAGATAGAATATAAAATTCTTCCTCTCCCGTATCGGGTTCATCTTTGTCCCAAGAGAAGACACCACTTTTTCAAACTCCTAAAATCCGTGCCTTACACGCGCGGGGAATTTGGGATAAGTCGACGTCTCACACACGTTGTTGGTTTAGTCTTTCACCGATTGAAAAAAACACCAGAATTCTAGTCTGGGGAATTTTATCCCGAAGCCTAAGAAGGGATAAGTCAGCGCCTAACACGCGTTGCCGGTTAGTCTTTTGCCGTAAAAAGGACAAAAACCCACATATTCAACATTGTGACAGGT